ATATATATATATTAAAAAAAATATATAAAATAAACATAAAAGTAAAAATATATATAAAATATACAGGTATAAAGTGATAACATGTTCACAGACATAAGTACATTTGTTTCAAGATGCTGGTACAATCTTTAAAATATCCGTATCTAAGATTTTATGTGAATATTATTGTTAAGAAAATAAAAAGAAATAATTAGTCAAAAAACACTGCAAAAAATTCTTCATGACTACAACTTCAGTGAAGCTCAGGCCAGGACAACAGAAAATGTCTACACTGTAAACATTTCTGCTAGCCCACATTACAGTTGCAAATCAGTATGTCAGTTTACTTCATTATGCAGCTGAACTAGAATCCAGTCTTAAGGATACTGTTAACTTTTTTTTAGACTAGAACATTTACCTTCCTTCAAAGTCAAGCAGGTCTCCTGACGTGAAACTAGGATGACTAAAATTTATAAAATTAGTTTTATAAAATCCATTTTATAAAATCTTTTGAATTTTTCATAGCCATATGCTATTTTAGCACTGCAGTAGCTAGCACCATGACTAGTGGAAAAAAATCTAACCAATATTAAATGATGTAATTTGATCTTTTTAGCAGAGTGGGCTCAAAACCCTATTCTAAAGGACTTCTTTTTTGGCAAGTATATGGACACAGAAGGAAAAAGAATAAGACAAAAAGGAGGAAAGAACTGCCTGGAGGCTATCCAAAGAGCTCTGGCTTTGAATGGGATTGTTGTTAAATCTCAAAGTGCCCTATGTACCTGAGAAAGTCTTATTCATCCTTTGAATGAAGGACAAAGAGAAACAAAAAAGAACCTAGTGATGATGGATTTATCAAATACTGCCAGACATGTTAGAAAAGCAATGTAATAGTTGTTAGAGGAATAAAAAAAAAAAAAAGATCACTTAGGGCAAGCCAAGAGGATTGTGTCTGTAGAAAGAAGAAACAAGGCTTTCATTTGAACACTGTGAAAAGTCACCTGAGGACAGGTCAAAGCAGTGTTAGGTAAAGGACACATACACTTAAAACAATGTCTTTCTCATTTCCAAGGGAAAAATGAAAATCAGAATTCTGAAAATTATTTTATATGTTACTTTTTTACCACCAATTTCTAACAGAGGAAAAAACAAAAGATCAGGAAATCCTGCAGTTCACTTCGTGGTGCAAAACCAAAGCTCAGGCTTTCCTGCTGACAAGCTGGTATGTGATCAATTATGTACATTACTGAACATGTACTCCACTGGAACATTTTTATATGTACTGTTCTCTAGCCCCTCTGGCATGATGTACAAGAATACAATGCTGGTGCAACTGTTCAAGGGTCACCAGAAAACTTCAGCTGATATCCTACTTAAATCTATTACCACTGCAGAAGAAGAAAAATCCCATTTATGTCCCTTGATGGCTTCAGTGCTCCCCACTTCCCAATGGTATTCTTCTTTCTTTTCCTCATCCTGTACCAGTCTCACTCAAAACCTGGTGACTAGCTTCCCTTCTCTTTTCTTCTACTACCAATTCATTTCTTCATTTCTAATCTTTTCCTCTAATACACAAACTTTAAATTTAGAATTTCTCTTTCCTTTCTTACCGAAACCACTGCTGTTTCTGTGTAATGGCAGTGAAAACTGCAAGAGTCAATTCCCCACGTTGGCCTTTTCCTTATTTTCTAATTAACAACTGGTCAAGAATATCTTTTTGTCTTAGTTCCATCTTAGCCTGATCTTTTTACAACAGCAGATAACACAAGCCTCTGAGGAGTACCCATAGCTAATTCCAAAGATGTGCTCACTACTTCAGCAAAAATATTAAAAAGTAATACCAATAAAATAACATTTCAAACATTTCACTCTGTCACATGTGTCTAGCAACTTCTAAACTAGACAGAAACTGTTTGGAAATCAACAATAACAAACATGGAAAGCATCAGTCACTTTTTTGGGGAAAAAAAGAAGTTATTTTAATATTTTAAACTGTTGTGCTGAAAGACAATTATGAATGTAAACTTCTAATAAGCCACATTCAAATTAATTCAGGACACTGCGAAGAACAAAGAAATTTGATTTCAAAGAGTATGTGGAATTAGAAGCAATACAAGTTAAAAAAAGAAAAGCATCTTAAGTTCTAAATATTTTAATATGTATTTTGACATTATTATATGAAAGCTTAAGCTAACAACCTTTTAAAGTATGTAATAGCCAGTTTCACATAAAGAAAATTAAGTTTTACATTAAGCATTTGGGAGGAACACCCTATCAACTATCTGACCCTCTATTCAAAACAGATTTTGTGAATTTACCTGTGCTCTTCATGCTAATGGAAACGTCTCCTTTTCCTAACCAGCTTCTGTTTGCTTTGGTTCCAGAGTTAGTATACAGTTTGTAAACTGCATCTTAAATAATTAATAATGCACTTACCCTTAAAGACTCCTGGAATGAGGAGGCCTGGTACTGTGCATATTTAGCAATTGTTGTATGAGATCTACTGCTTTCACAACGCCAGATTTTCTTTGTTCCAGTGGGGTCCCAGTTTTCATCTGCTGGCTGCAGTAGTTGTGTCCTCACTTCTACTATGTGTTCATTATTTGCTTCTACCAATGTCTTAGTGGAGAAGAGTCCTAGATCTAATAAATAGGAATAAAACTCATAAATGACAGTTAAAATGTAATAAAAAGTTTCAAGAACAGAAGACATTAAACCTTTAGATAACTTTAAGTATTAAACTAAAGCATTTTTTTTTGCCCAAGATTAGAAACAGCAGCAAACTAAGAAATGACACATTACCCTAATTACTTGGAACACACAAGTAATACATTATTACAGAAATAAAATATCCACTTTTAAGAACCGAGAGACTTCTTTTTAAAAAAAACACATACATTTTTTCCAAAGTAAAAAAAAACCATAGAAAGTAAACTTACCTAATTTAAGCGCTCCAGCAAGGCCACGTATTACAGTAACAGGGTTGTTTGGATTTGTACAAAATTGATGTAAAGGTGGAAAGAAAGCATCTCGTTTATTTTCCAACTGTAAAATTATAACGGAATATTAGATGTCAGATGAACTTAGACCCCTTATTTGTAAAATAAGAAATAATAATAATACTAAAAAAAAAAGAGAAACAATAGAAAGAAGACAGGAATGTTCTCCATTTCCCTGCACTGTGGGGAATGAACAGCTACATCATACAACCCTTTCCATGTTAAAAGCTAGGTTCACTCCTGAAATTAATTTGTTACTGCAATTTATTTCTTGGCATGAATTATTCCCAGGTTGCTTCAGCTTTTGCAACTCAGGTTTCCTGCAGTTTATTTCGTTATCTGACAGTAGCCTTGTACATTCTCTAGATCTACAGAATTCTCTGAAGAGCAAGATAATACGCTAACCTTCTTTACTAAAGTAAAAAAAGCTAGTTCCACAGATAATGTATACAAGAAACAGTGTAATTAAAAAGACTACTCTCACAGTGTATCTCATGTTAACCAGAAAGGTTGATTTTATTTTTCTTTCTATGCTTTTGTGCACCTATGACCTCAGTTTTATGCTATAGTCTCCCCCATTTTTTTTAAAAATTGTTGTGAATCTTTTAAAATACTGAAGACATCTCTTTCTAATAAACTACACACAATACAGAGTTCCCAAATATTGGTACCCACATTGGCATCTACACAGTGTGCTGCAACATAGTGACTTACCAGCTTTGTACAGACTCAACAAAGCTGTGATGGACTTTTAACAGGGTAGATTAATTCAGATGCAACACTTGGAGAACAGCTGGAAGCATTATTACTTGCAACTTAATATAGCTCTCAGGCAGACTGCTTGTGTAGCATTGCACCAAACAGCCAGCTGCTTCCGGACCCCAAGTTGGGCTGAGCAAAGCCAACTTGAGGTTTTCACAACAGCTGTATGGACATACTATAATACATTCTTCTGTTATCAAGGAAGTGGACTTCCTATAATTTATTCTTCTATTACTACAGAAGTTGGCTCAAACTTTAGCTAAAGTTATTATGAAACTTTATTTTCAGAACAGAAGTTTTAATCATTGCATAAGAAAATAGCATGCAACTCAACCCTACCTTTTGCTAATGATGTTTTGTTCTTAACATCACCTCAACTTTTATTATGTTTTTCTTTACTATATTTTGAAGCAGATTGTTAGGAGAGCTTAATTACTTGCTCATTTATACCTAAACTCTCACTTACAAAAGACGTACATACATATTTGAAATATTGTACATTGTATCTAACGAACTGTTTTGCTTATTCTGCCAAAATGAAACAAAAAATTCTGAAGCTGTTTTTCCTCACTTACTACAATTCTTAATTTACAAGTACTTTAAGAGTCAGACTAAGCCTCAACATTTTCTTTAAGGTTAGCATTTTTCCTGCTTATACACCAGCTGGGAGAGCACTGTAATTAAAATTCAGCTGTGAATAGTGCATCTTTAAAAGAATTACATTATGTAATTCAGATTTCCAAATAATTACAAAAGACAGTCAGCAATGTACTTCTACCATTAGATTTACTTACATAAATACTAGGTGTAGGTGGATTCAGCTTGTCCTTTGGCAAGGGAGGGTATGGTGGAGGCGGTGGTCGTGGAGGTGGGCATTTATCCAGTAGAATACTACTGTTAGATAAGCCATTTTTACCCAGATTCCTAAAAGGAAAGAAGAGCTGCATCTGTCAATACTTGACAAATAAAATAAATATATATTAGTGTCATCTCTTCTGCAAAATAATGATGTATAAGGAGAAACCTTAATTCAAGATGCAAATAAAGCGCATACATTTTAATCAGGAATTCTGTGTATAATTTGATAATATTCAAAATAATTACCATTTTGCCTGCCAAATCTGCAACATCACCAGTATTAGTTAAAAATATAGCCATTTTAAATAAAAGCAAGTATGACTCGTTTGACAAAATTTAACAGAGAAAAGCGGGTTTCAAGTAGAAATAGAGAAGAACCTTATTAGGTCAGCACTGGCTGGTGGATGATCAGTTCATAGCAGCTGAGATAATGCAGTCTGGTAATGCTGTGCATAGCGCTGTGGCAGAGCACAAAGTCACAAAATGACAATGCCTCAGCCAAAAAAACTGCTGAGTCACAAAACCCAGCTACAACTATACTAATGACATTAAATTGAACAACCACCTACCCCTCTCTGATCTCCACATTTTGAAGCCACAAGGAGCCACTGCTGCATAATCCATTTGTTTGAGCAACAGAGGAAAGGACCTACCCGCAGTGAGTTGCTGCGTCAACACTCGTACGTGTACTCAAGCGAGAACCTAGCTTGTTGTATTTGCAGCCTTCCTCTGGAGACTTCCAGATGGGGATAACCCACCGCACACGTGTTAACTTTTCCTATAATGAATGACCTGAAAATCTGCGTTCTGAGCTTAGTCTATGTTCAATTTCCAGTCACTATCACCAGAAAGTATTTATTAACAAAACCATCCCTTAAATTTTTGTTTGTTAAAAATGACTCAACTACTTCAAAATTCTTCAAAACTAAACACTATTCAAATCCTTCTTCCAGCCTCACTTGATTCACTAGCTGTTGTTACCATCTCTCAACACCCCACAAAATAGGATATTTCTAATGCATAACTTAGTCATGTATCTTCATAAAACTCACTGGTTAAAAAAAAGTTGTTCTGGTAACAACAGTCTTCAGCAGAAAACGCATCTGACTTATATTAGATGAAACTCCTAGCAATACAGCTTGTCTCAAACACAGAAACTGTGATACCAGCACTGAGAAACATCACAGAGCTGGATGCTGGCATGTGAGGGCACGGCTTCAAAATTAGGCTACCACAAAACGCGAGTAAGATGGACTTCGGGCTTGAGATCAGATCAGACTGACCGTTATGACACGCACTTTAAAGAAAATGAGCAAACATCTCACCTACCCCAGGCTGCAGCAAAGACAAGCATCCTGAGAAACCGGTGCTCATCACGACAAACAAGTCAGTCATTCAGTTCAGAACTTATGCCAGATTTCTAACTCATACACTGCTCTCCTCTGACAGAAGATCAGAGACATATTTAACAACTGTCTCCAAAGCACGCCTGTCAAAATACCAAACACAGCTTATTCCTTGTGCCAGGCGAGTCTAATGCCAGAATAGATTGCAACTTCAAAGAAACTGAAAGAGCAATGTGGAAGCTTTGATTAGGCATCACCCAACTTGACAAAAACCTCACTGACCAATGCCTAATGTCTGATGTAGTTCTTGCGAAGACCTTATTGCCACCCCCCCCCAAACTGAAGAAAAATGGCAATATAAAATCACCATCACCCAAAGAGATCTATCAAACACAGTTGCATGAATCTGAGATTCAGGCCATCTATACAAACTGAAACTATAAACTGAATAGCAGGTATTATAACCTTTGCAACTATAATCTTTGCATTACCAAACTGAAAAATAAAACCAAGAAAAGCAAATGCATACTATTAAAAGTCAAAAGAGAACTATGACAACATTCAGTTTGAATTGATAAACAGCTCTCAGGCAACTTCTGAGGCAAGTAAGATTGAGTGAGACTGAACCTGAAGAAAGAGAGACATTGCTCAGAACTAGCGTGACTTAAGGTACTGTAGTCACAAAAAGATAATCACCCCAGCAAAAGCTCAGTAAAGCCAGGGTACATGGGGTCTTCAGGGAAGGCGGACGGACAACAGAGAAAGGAGAAACTCCTGTAGCTTAGAGAAATTACAGGTCTGAAAAGGCAAAGGATATACAGAAGAAAGCAGACAGTATAGAGGAAAAGATCAGATGAACAGAGATATCTCATAAACCCACCACTTGAAGCTGATACTACCAGATGTATGCCACAGTTTCCCATTAAGTTACTAAAACCCTGTGTGGAAATTTCAAGAGAGGAAAGGGGCCAAAGAAAAGCACAGCTGAAATAGGAAAATGCTCGTAATTCAAGTGGCACAGGAAACAGATGGGTAGAATATTGGAAGTTGTCTTTAACAGACCAGTTTCACTCTATCATCTTTTTTTTTTGCCCATGAATCAGAATAACTTACTATTAATAACAAAACAAGAGAGCTATTAAAGAATAACGCTGTAATTGAGAGTGTGCAAAACAGAGCAACAGAAATTATAAAAAAAACCACAGAAGTACTAAAAAGATTTGCTACCGGCACCTGAATGAAGTGGTGTGAGTATCCACTGCTGGCCTCTCCACCTCTGGAAATACAGAACTATGGCCAGTGCAAGGAAAGTGTAAGACCCTTTTTGACCACAGCAACCGCGAGGAAAATCTCACACATCTCTGTTTCAGGAGTGTATTTTTTGTAAGAGGATTTCATGCTGGCTGAAAGAGGCAACAGGTGCAGTACTTGAGAAAAACCAAGCCTGATTTAGGCCCCAAAAAGAAACTGGATACCCAAACAGTCACCTGCAATGCTGTGATGGACGGATGAAGAGGACAGGCTTCATTCATTTAAATTGACTTTCCAGAGGGAACTGGCTTTTCACAGACTGCGCAGGCAGGAGAACACCGCTCCTTCCCGCAGAGCGGAAGGAGAAGGCAGGAGCGGCTGTCAGCCTCAGAACGGTAAGGACACGGGTGCGCACGCGTGTGCGCGGCACTGTCCTGAGTCAAAGCTGCAGCTCTCACAGCCCACTGCGGTTTGCTCCACGGGTAAAAGCAACAACAAGTCATTCAGCTGCTTCACCCTGAGGACCAAACTCATGCTGCCATGCTTATGAGTGACACCAACCGCTATGGATAAAATAGGTGCCCGGATTTCATGTAATTAAGGGATCTCTTGAATAATCAATCGCCAGATTCATTAAAACACCCCTATTTGACATTTTACTGCTTTCTAGGATACCTTCCCACACCTTCTTAAATGCAGTTTACAGCCTTCAGTCTTTGAGAACAACTTCCCCCTGGCTGTACCGAAACACACAGTTAACCAGAAGCAGAGGTGTGCTTCACAACAGTCACCTGTCCTCTTCGTTATATAGCACTCACTCCCAGTCTGTGCTTTTAGGAAGTATTAACACAAATAATTTAATGTTATCTAGGGATTTCTTGACAAATGGAGACCGATGGCTTAGCCAGAGATAATGCCTTCATCTGTCTACCACACCCCTTCCCTCGAGTTCACTATTTTCACTGCATGGACAACCCAGTAGCTTGTTACGCAGCTGGGACGTCCCTGCCCCATGGGAAGATGGCTTCCAGCTGCTCTAGCCTCAGCGACTCCCCTGTCAGAGCCTGACATCACTATCAAAAACTAAATAAAACAAGACCAAAATCTGATCCCAAGGCAATGTCACTGAAATGTTTACAATTCCACGAAACTTATCAGGAAACTCATCAGAAACCTATATCATAGTTCCTATACACTTCATAGGTACTCTATTGACTTTGTGTCATCCTAGTTGACTAAAAAAAGATATCATGCAACTTTAAAGCCAACTGTTACACAGCTGTATTAACTCTATTTTATTATACAAACTCTCAACTACATCAAGAATATTCAAGTTAACATAATAAAGCTTATTTTCCAAGAACCAGGACTCATTATCATTAATTACTATCCTTTACATTTATTAAATTAATCACCTCAATAATTTTATTATTTCACTCAAGCCTACTGTCAGACTGAGGGGATTACTTTTATTTCTCAGAAAGTAGTTCCATAGTGCTTTTCAAGTCCTCTGGAACTTTTCTGTTTTCCAAGAAGTAGAAAAAAAAACATCTGTATGAACAACAAACAATTCTCTGGCCTGCTCTTTCAGAGCTCATGGATGTACATTATCCAGATCTCTGGATTAAAAGTGACAAATGTAAGTCTAACTACTGTTTAACCTTCTCCTTGATTATTGTGAAAACAGAGAGTGTGTTATTGTACATGCCATGATGTGAACATCGTATCTGCCTTTTTCCCAAGCACAGAACAAAAATATTTACTGAACTCTCTTGCCTCTATTGAGTATTCTAATAGCTCTGTGCAGTCATTAAGCATTAATGGGTTTTGTTTCTTCTTTTTCATTCTTGGCTATAGTTTTCCTCTTCCAATCTTCATTTCTGAGTTTTGTAGAACTCTTAGCTGCACTACTTTTAAAAATATTACCCCTTTTTGTTTTTAATTGGGACATTGTGACTTTTTGAGGATAATGAAAAGTTCCTAAACAATTTCCAGTTATCTACACATTTGGATTTTAGGTGCACTTCACAGGCCAAAACAGAGTAAGTTACAATCATTTGCACCTAAGCAGTTATTTTTGTTGTGAAGTCAGTCTGTAAGTGAATTATTATTTGAGGATTAGCTGCATGAGAATTAACAAGGTTTTACCACTCGAGAGATTATAGTTATTCAGAAGAACAAAATTAATACCCTCTCTTCCCCAAATAAAAATTGTATTTAACATGAATATAAGGAACTGTGGATTGTGTGATACTCTATCTCAAATCTATCAGAATTAATTAATCTACAAAGAAGAATGAACAAAATATTTAAAAGTGTGCCTGCAGAAGGAATCAGTTGAAGCACAGGGATGCACAGTACTTACTTGACCCAGTCCTGATTCAAAACAGAAATACCTGGCCTTTCTTAACAATCAGTGGATACAATTAATTGCTTTCATGCTGCAAGTTATTAGAAAAACACAGAAAA